GTGGTGGTGCTGTTTCATGGAGGTCTTGCAAACAGACAATTTTGACGAGGTCAACCATGGAAGCAGAACTAACGGTACTGGATACTGCTACTGTTGAGGCAGAATGGCTGCGTGATCTATTAATGGATCTGCCTGTTGTTGAAAAACCGGTGCCGGCTATCCTTATGAACTGTGACAATCAAACGGTAATTGTCAAAGTGAATAGTTCTAAGGATAATATGAAATCGTCTAGACATGTGAAAAGACGATTGAAGTCTGTCAGGAAATTAAGAAACTCCGGAGTTATAACGTTGGATTACATCCAAACAGCGAGAAACCTGGCAGATCCCTTCACGAAGGGACTATCACGAAATGTGATAGACAATGCATCGAAGGAGATGGGTTTGAGACCCATGTGAGTTATACTATGGTGGTAACCCAGTCTATGTGATCGGAGATCCCGTGAATTAGATCCTGGGAAGAACAAACCATTAATAAACTAGAGGAGAGTACCAATATATATACCCTATCCAAGTGAAGATGCATATACTCTCGTGAGCTGCAAGGCAGGTTGGCTATGCCTTAATGAGTTCTGTTGGCTTTAATTAGCAAAGATGTTGTCCTGCAGAGCATTCTTGAAGGAACTCACCTTTGTGAGCTTGACTGTTGGTCGCAGTCTATGAAGATTTTGGGTGAATCTTCTAGGAAGCTTACTAAAGACCTAGGAGTATGACTTATACGCTCCACCCGAGGGGTAGTCTACAGACGGTCTAGTACCAGATAAGACTTTGAGTGAAACTTGCTTGCACAAGACTTGCAATTCAAGGCGTAGTCCATTGTTCAAGTTGTGAGTAAGTGTAGCTTGGAGTTCTAGGTGGATGTTCAACCTTAATTGGTCTCCATCGAACCGCTGGTATATAAACAGTACATTGGAAAAGGCAAATCTCAGTGGGATTTTGAGATTTGGTGGGGGATTGTTGGAATTAATGAATGGGCCTTAGCCCACTCGAAGATTAATTCTTTGGAAAATCACAAAAGCCCACCTCATGGGATGGCATGCATGTGGAGTTTAGTACCACCTTGCTTATTCTAGGAGAGGGGGACCTCCTTAAAAGGGAGGATGCCCTCCTAGCCACTTGAAGCATGTGTGGTGGAGAGAAGAGGGGAAACACACGCGCGCGCTCGCTCGCCTGGCCTCGCCTGGCCTGGCAGGGCAGGGCAGGGCAGGCGGCGCGCGTGCACGACGTACGCGTCGAATGGTCCGAAAAATTGGCTCCTCATCCTTGCGCAGATGCAGCCTCCTTTTGCAGTTTTGTTTTGCTGCAAATTCGGATTCGTTTTGTTTTGGAAACGTTCCGAAAAATCCGGTGCGTGCAAACGGCGTGGAGTCCGGATAAGTTACGCGCGACTTATCCGGTTCGGTTACGCGCAGTAGAGATCGTGCGGGCGCCCTGATCAAGCGACCCTTCTCTATATAAACCGACCCGCCGTCTTCACGCAATATATGCGAAAATCAATCTAGGGTTTGCCTCCTACTCTGTACTGCGCCGTCGCTCGTAGACTACTCCATCCCGCTCGCCGGCGTGCACCAGCGATCGGGAGAGCAGGTCTCCGGAACCTCTGCCTTTGACGTCCTGCACCGGGAGAAGGCGGCAATAAGGTTTTTGGGAAGCGCTTCGTGCGACTGCTCCCTGTTCGTTCGCGACGGCTCGCCTTCCTCTTCGCTCGCGTGTTTCGTGCCTTCGTAGACACCTGCGAAAAGTTTCGACCAAGCAGTCGGTCTTTTCGTCACCTCGGTACGTGTTCAATATGTTGCGCATATTTGATCTGTTCATGTTATTCTGCGTAGTTTACATGTGTAGATCTAATGATGCGTTCATGCTAGTTTTCATCTGTAATGTCATGATTTATTTATGGAATAAATTAAATCCTTATATGCCCATAATCTCAACATATGCTTTATATTTTGAGATGGAAAATAAAATCAATTTCACATAATTACATCCATTAGGAGGAAGCATGGAATACTGCTATTCCACCATCAATGATGTACATTTACTCCAATACTACGATAACCACCACTAAGATACGTAAACATCGATTATCTTGGATACTATTACTATTGCTAGATCAATCCCCACCATATCCATGCCATATCCCCTGCTTCATGGTCTCAAAAGAAATCAGCTTTTCTGCTCTTGTACACAAATTTGGATATGTTTATATCTAAATTTCTTTATAAAAGTTATTTTTTTACAGAGGGAGTACGTATTTGAGGAATATGGTAGGGTATACCGAAGACTACTAATGGGTGCGTGCTGGTTTCATAGCTAGCGCAGCTGCGCGCGCTCCCCTCCTCTGCTAAGCGCTAATGACGTTAATTAGCACTAATTGTATTTTAGGTAAAAGTTTTTTAAGAAATAGCTGAAAGATTTTAAAATTTGTGTTGAAAGTTTTGAAATTTAATTTGAATTTTTTTTAAATTTAAGTTGAAATTTTTAAATCTTGATTTGATAGTTTTCAAATCCGAATTAAAAAGTTCTCAAATTTTGATTCAAAAGTCCTTAAATCTAAGTTGTAAGTTTCAAATCAAGGTTAAAAATAAAGTCTTCAAATCTTAACTTGAAAGCTTTAAAATTTAGATTGAAAAGTTTTCAAATATGGGCTTTGGTTAATTTTGTTTTCACTTTTGAGTTTAAAGTTTTAATATTTTAGTAGAAGTTTGCTCATTTTCTTTAACACAAATAATTTGACCATCAAATTTTGACATACTCTCTCGAAGAAAAAGAAAATTACATATTTTTTCTCCACGTACGTTGTACAGACTTACATATTCCCTCATCACGCTCTAAGCTTGTATTAGGCTGAGTTCTTTATCTTTATCTTCCCAACTCACCTCTCTCGTTTTCCGCGCGTATATTTTTCGAACGGCTAAACGGTACGTTTTTTTAAAAATTTTCTATATGAAAGTTATTTTAAAAAATTATATTAATCTATTTTTTAAATTTATTTTAACTAATACTTAATTAATTATGAGATAAATGCTATTTTGTTTTGCGTGCTGGAGAGTGAAGGATAGGATCACTCCCGAACACAGACTTAACTGTCTTAAATCTCAAATACAAATAAAGATGTAAACGGGTCGATCCGTGGCTTGATACAAATAAATGAGGTAACACTGTAAATAGGTTTGTGGATACAAATTCCTTTCCGGAGCATTATTTTCGATAAAAGTACTACTAGTAACGACTATTCGCCAACAGGAAAACAAGAAAAGACTGGCCCGTAGTAGTAGTAAAACTTTGCAGCAGAACGTGACGTGTCCACTCGCACTACGTGAGGATTTTCCCCCTACCGATCTTATCCTCAATTTCACCTTCTAAAGTCACCGACCACTGGGCCCCACGAGACAGCCTCTAGTACTTCGTATTTACTTTCACATGGTACTAGTAGTACCAACCAACGGCTCCCTTTCCTGTCCCCACACGGCGCGATCGGGACGCGCGGCATCCATCCCACCCGTTCGATCCCCCATCGGACGGTGGATCCGTCTCCAGTTAAAAAAAATATCGGCCGAGGTTTATTATTATAAAACGTGCTCACGGCGTCGCGGCGCGCGGCCGGTGGGCGGTGCGCATCCCATGTGACGGCACCGGGTGCGCGTTCTAATTCGTAACGTACGGAGAAAAATTCTACGGAGTAGCTACTGACTTGTGGGCCATGCGGACCGTCACCACTCGGTGGGACCGACGTGTCAGTGTGCGTAACCGGTTAAGGGGTATAATGGGCCGGTACGTACGGAGCGATTGGTGACGGATGCGGGCGACTTTTTTTTAATTAAGTATAGAAAATTGTTTTCCCCGACACGCTTTTGTATTTTTTTTCTCTGACGACTCACACAGCGGCCCGCACGAGCTGTCTTCCTTCTCCTTGAGCTGGTCTTTGATCTGTCTTTGGTGCGTAATGACAGAAATACCCACTAATCCTTTACACACGCTGCCCATTTTCCCTTGCCCAGTTTTGACTTTTCTCATTTAGGCCATGACACGTTATTCATTTGAGCAAGCCATTTTATTCCAAGAACAAAATGATGCTATTCGTCAACTTTGTAAGAAGGAAAAAAAGAATCACCGGATCTATATAAACCAAAACTTTCAAACTTAGGGTTTTCTTAGTAGGTTGGATTAAAAAAAACAAAGAAATAGAAAAACACTTAATTTTGCACACAAATAATCATTTTAGTAGACTACAGGAAAACCATAGAAATCAGATAATAGAGATAAAATTGATAGAAATTTTTTTAAAAAGGTTTTAGCTCTTACTAACTTTTCTTCAAAATCTATGTAGGATTTTTCATTTTATAGGAATTTCAAAAAAAAATTGATATAATTTAATCCTTTCTTATGAAGGCCTTATTGGGAATTTTCCCTCTAGGATTCAAATTCTCTAAATTTTAAGTATTTTCCTACGAATCAAAAGATCATATTTTTAACCTATAATATATAAACATTAGGAAGTAAATGATCACATGAAAGGGACTTAAAGTAAATTGCACTGTTCAAGTTATGCCTGACAGAACTATTCCTTTAAACTCTCAATTTTCCATCACATCTAAAACTTTTCTACTCAAATAAACTCTCAATTTTTTTTTCCAAACTACCAACTTTCTCTAAACGTCTCCCTAATTTTAAAAGCTAAACACAGCCCTAATGTATTTACAAGTCAAAGGACTACAGATTTGTCACGTCCAAAATTAATGCGTACACTCTGCGAGCCCAAAATTAAACTCTCTGTCCAGAGATGCAGAAAAGGGGAAAATAGAAAACACGAGTCCCACGACGGTAATTTCACCGTCCCGAAAATCCAATCCAAGATTCCCCTAATTAGGACAGAGGAAAAAAAAACGTTGAATTTTTTTTAAAACAATGCACTTTTAAAACCAGGTGGGCCCAGCGTGGCGCCTACACACCGCACTCTATAAAAAGGCCGCCTCCTCTGCCCCCCTATCCATCCTCCATTACGCTTTCCTCCACCACCTAAACCGCACCGAACCCCGCTCGCACTTTCGCAGAAACACCCCTCACCGACCCCGTATTTACATTAAAGTTACCTACCTTTCCTCTTTATTGGATTTTTTGCGGAGAGCCCCCTGGTAAGTTTGTGATTATCGCATCGGTGCCCTTCGCCGGAGCTGTGGGTGGTGCCCTCTATGAATGGTCAAACCCCGATGGGGCTCGCCGCCGCCGCCGCAGCCGCAGTGAGGCCGTGCCGCCGGAGGCTGCTGTCGTCGGCCACGGCGGCGGCGGCGGCGGCGACGGTCGCCACCGCGACCCCGCTGTTCCCCAGATGCCCCCACCCGCACCACCACCTCCACGGCCGCCGCCTGCCCTTCCTCGCATCCGCGGCGTCGCAGCAGCAGCAGCAGTCCGGGCAGACCGCCGCCTCGCCGGCGACCCCACCTATACCCTCCGATCCCCGCGCCGCCGTCTCCGGCAACCTCCCCTTCTTCGACCGCGTCCTCTTCCCGGACACGTTCCCGGTCGAGACCCCACCGCCCTCGTCGGCGGCGGCGTCCGCGGCGGCTGCGGCCGATGAGGAGGTGGCGTCGGCGCTCAAGGCGAGGGAGGAGACGGAGGCGGAGCGGGAGGCGTGGAGGCTGCTGAGGAGGGCGGTGGTGAGCTACTGCGGCGAGCCGGTGGGGACGGTGGCGGCGGAGGACCCCGAGTGCACGGAGACGCTCAACTACGACCAGGTGTTCATCAGGGACTTCGTGCCCTCGGCGCTCGCCTTCCTCATGCGCGGCGAGACCGAGATCGTCCGCAACTTCCTCCTCCACACCCTGCAGCTGCAGGTGAGCCGATTCAGATCCTGATCCTGATTCAAATTTGGGGCCAAACGATTTCGGATTCCAAAGTAATCATCATACCGTGGGTACTGAGAACTGCTAATTGCGTGCACGTTAGGTTTTCCTGCTAGTTGGGGGGAGGAAAATACAGAATTATGCATGGTTAGATATATATGAGAAGTTTACTGCCACTTTGGGTCTTTGAATATCATGTTTCAGATTGAATTTGCTTGCTAGATGTGATTGTCTAGTCCTATGACCTATGATGAATTCGTATTCTATATGGCTTTAGCTACTGTGGGGTAGATGGAGATAAGGTTTCCCTTTTGCAGAATAATACTATGTCTCTTTCTCACGTAGTCTGATGAACCAGTAGACAGCCTATATATTATTATATGAATCAAAGCAGCTAATTTGTCACAAAATGATGAATTGCTAGTGCAATAAATACTGCTAGTGATGAATTGGGCCCAGCTAATTTTCGGAATATTATGAAAATAATTCAACGGAAAAAACTTACATGTTAACTGACATACATATAAAAAATTCTCAAAATTTTCCTATTATACAAATGGCACTAGCACTTAACAGTAAGGTTACAGAAATCTGTCTTATTCATGTTGTTTTGAGCCTAGTTTTCTTATTGTCTCAACATGGCAGTTAATTCATTTTAGGATTTTATTTGCTGATTTTTTTTCTATGTCTGATGGCCAGAGCTGGGAGAAGACTGTTGATTGTTACAGCCCTGGGCAAGGCTTGATGCCAGCTAGCTTTAAGATTAGGGCTGTGCCTCTTGATGACAATAACGAAGCATTTGAGGAAGTTTTGGACCCTGACTTTGGAGAGTCAGCTATTGGACGTGTAGCTCCGGTGGATTCAGGTAAATCTCTCTCTCTCTCTCACTTGATTCGTTTATCAACTATGACAGATTTATCAAAGTAGTTTACCCCAAATAATTTTACAGGACTTTGGTGGATTATTTTGCTGAGGGCATACTGCAAGATTACAGGGGACAATGCACTGCAGGAAAGAGTAGATGTGCAAACCGGCATTAAACTTATCTTAAGCTTGTGTTTGTCCGATGGGTTCGATATGTTTCCAACTTTACTGGTCACAGACGGATCATGCATGATAGACAGGAGGATGGGAATACATGGGCACCCCCTTGAAATTCAAGTAAGTTGGATTTTAGTAGAAATTATTACAGAATGATATTTCTGAGCAACTGATAATGTTGTTTATAATTGGTTTAGCCTACTGTAGGAAATTCTGTTCTTAGTAAATAAATTTACTATTTTATATCACTATTAAGATAAAGAAACCTGACATGAAGGGATCAACGTGCTGTTAGAGACAGTACTTCTATACTGCTACTTTGAAGCTAGATACAAAAGATTATCCGAACTGACCAATTGTACCTGCTTTTCAGGCTTTGTTCTACTCTGCCCTACGATGCTCACGAGAAATGCTTGTTATGAACGATGGGTCAAAAAACCTCCTTCGTGCCATTAATAACAGGCTGAGTGCGCTGTCCTTTCATATTAGGGAATACTACTGGGTTGACATGAAGAAGATAAATGAGATATACAGATACAAAACAGAAGAATACTCTCATGATGCAACAAACAAATTCAACATTTATCCTGAGCAAATCCCTTCTTGGCTTGTTGACTGGATTCCTGAAAAAGGTGGCTATCTCATCGGGAACCTGCAGCCAGCTCACATGGATTTCAGGTTCTTCTCTCTCGGCAACCTTTGGGCAATAACTTCATCTCTAACTACTCCAAAACAAGCTGAGGGAATACTTAGCCTTATTGATGAGAAATGGGATGATCTCATAGCAAACATGCCCCTCAAGATATGTTACCCCGCAATGGAAGATGATGAATGGCGCATTATTACCGGCAGTGATCCTAAGAACACGTAAGGATTCTTGAACTGGTCTTTATTGCTAGTATTTTCATGATCTACGTTCAACCTGACCTCTTAGTTAATGATAATTTCACATAAATCATTGGCTGATCCAGTGAACACATGTAGTATCCACTAAATAAACATTGTAACCAGCTGATATTATCTTGTAAGAAATGTTTAGCAGAGCAAACACATAATAACCGAAACAAGGGCTCAAAACCTCTTCTGATTTATCTTTTAAATATCACCATATGCCCTGCTGCACTCAGATTTTTTATGGGCAACTTAGTTTGTTCGTGTAGCTTTTCATACGACGTGTTTCTATTTCATTTCCACAGTTGTTGACATCTAAACATTTTGTTAATATGCAGCCCATGGTCATATCATAATGGTGGATCCTGGCCAACGCTGCTGTGGCAGGTATGGAGATATTGACAGACTGTTTCCAAACTTTCTGCTCCTTTTATGCTTATGAATCATCCCTTACCAGTGTATTTTATTTGTCTACAGTTTACATTGGCCTGTATCAAAATGGGAAGACCAGAGTTGGCCCGAAGAGCCATTGCTGTGGCCGAGGAGAAGCTGGCAGCTGACAAATGGCCAGAGTACTATGACACCCGCTCTGGAAGATTCATCGGGAAGCAATCTCGGTCATATCAGACATGGACTATTGCTGGTTTTCTGACCTCTAAGATGCTATTGGAAAACCCCGAGCTGGCTTCTATTCTGACCTGCGATGAGGACCTCGAGCTGCTTGAAGGCTGTGCATGCTGCCTTTCTAAGAAGAGAACTAGGTGCTCACGCCGTGCAGCCAAGTCCCATGTCGTCGAGTAAAACAGCAGAGTCCCTTTTATACATGCTACTCTGCACGCACAAGTATACTACGAGTACTTGTCGACAATTAACTTGAGACGAACACACTATAGCCATGTACATTAGTATAGGTTTACACTAGATATCCATCCATTCATTTTCCTCGATGCGCGCTCATTCGTTTTTGCTGAGCTGCCATCGATGGGATTGGAGCTACCCTGGGTGATACCGGTGGTCGACGAGAGCAACACCGATTCAGGTCTGTGGCTCTCGTGTACACAGGAAATTGAAGTTTGTTGTTGTGTTCGGTCCACCAGCAGCTCCTAATTCGGGAGTGCTGCGAAGCCCTAACCATTGTATCCATTGTCATTATTTAAGCTGTATCTTGTATCACTTGGCAAACTGAACCAAGACACCATTTTCCTGTTATCTTGATGAAATATAACAATGCTATGAATGTTATGATTATCGATTTATGTTCTGTTGGATGTTGAGAGTTGAGACGCTGGAACTGTCACACGTTTTTATTGTGCCCCCCATCTTGTGTTGTAGTCTTGCATGTGCGCAAGACTCACCTTGGCTACCTTGTTGCATTGTTGCTGGTTCTATCTTGACCTTCAAAACTTGTCAGATTGCTTGAGCAGATCATCTCAAACTCAACTTTTGGTGTTTGGTTTGTGTTGAATTAGTAACATCTATAATCGTAATAAAGCTAAGAAAGTTTATACTCCTATATAAGGTTGAAGAACTGCAAATATATAATCTTTTGAGCTACACATCTCTGAAAGATTTAGTTACATGGTTATGATCTCTGAAAGCCTTGAGGAAGGTTCAGAATTTTGGGACATGAACCACATACCGTGGCCGCGAAGGGAGAAAGGTTCAGTGTTACGTTCAGTCGACCGGAAGATGTACGCAACAATCCCTTGGGGGAAAAAAGATCTACAAGAAAGATCAGGAGTCCCCTTTCAACAAAAGGAATCTTGCAAGGGAAAAAAAAACCAAAAAAGAAAAAGAAAAAGCAAACAACGAACGAGAGTAAGCCTTCACACCAAAACGTAGTACCTCCACGAGAATTAAGGGAAAAAGACAACGAAAATCTTTTGGATCTCAACATCTATGACTGCTACGTTCCTCAGTGCAGCGTGCAGGTAAGACTAAGGTTTTTGCTTCAAGGCTTAAGCAAAGGACAATATCTGCAACATTAGCAAGAAACAAAAATTGAAACAGGGAAGAGATTCAGACCTAAGAGAGAAGGGAAGTTCTATTTTCTTCACACAAACATACACACAAAAGTAAAGGTAGAAACAAAATAAATTTCTAGAATTAGTTGGACAACATGTAAACTATGTGAAATTTATATAGTTTAATAACATGTGAAAAATATATTATGAAAGCATTTCTCATAGATAATCTAAAAACATGAATCTTATCATGTTAAACTAAATAAATTTTTAGAAATCAATGAATCAAAGTTATGAATATTTGACTTTAGGACAAAAATTTGAAACAGAACATATAATTATGCTGTAGCCTATACAATATGCACTAATGCACAAGGACACTGATCACTGTTACTACAAAGTCACAAACTTAATTAGTAATTACTGCACCATAAATATATTACAATCCAACGAAATTGCAACAAACTTCCAGCGATCCAAAATTTCGTGTGCATTGCACAGTTCCAAGATCTCTCATGTCCAGCTATTCATGGTCGTCATCGTCCCCAACGCCGGCATCGCCGTCGCCGTCGCCGGCGTGGAAGAGGTCGAGGCGGTTGTGGCTGAGGCGGAGCGTGTACATGGTCCTCTTGTACTCCGCCCAGGTGAAGGCCCTGTACCGGCGCGGCGCGCCGGCGGCCACCGTCTCCGGGAGAGCCGAGATCCTGGCGTGCAGCGGCGGCGCCGCGAAGTAGATGGTCGACAGCCTCGGCTTGCCGGTGCCGACCACCACCCTGTGCCGGATACTCACCAGCCTCCCGTTTGTCAAAGCCTGCAAAAATATGTACAAACAAATTGAGGGCTTATTCGGAATGGAGGAGAAACATAGGAAAAATGAAGGACTTTAGATACTATGGATTACTTTACTGTGGCGTCATTCGGATCACATGAAAACGTTCGTTGGAAATACGTAGTGAAATTTCCTGCGCTAGTCATATCACTGAAAGATCAAAGGAAAAAAAAAATCCACACTGACCTCTTTTTTCTCTCCCTTCGCGTGGGAACGAGGCAAATCATGCCATCAAGCAACTAAAACATGTTATTAGGTTGATTAATGTTGTTTAATTCAATAGTAGCATGTGATAATTTTGTAATAGTGCACCTATTTTCTTAAAGATACCTATGTTTTTCCTTTACTCTATCCAAACACCTATTCACATAAAATTCCTATGTTTTCAAATCCTCTGTTTTATACTTGTATTCCTATCCTATTCCTATATTTTTCCTATTTCTATATTTTTTCAATCTTGCGTTCCGAATGAGCCCTCGAAAGTTTCAATAACAAAGAACACAACTTAGGGGGCGTGTTTAGATCAGGGTATAAAATTTTGGCGTGTCACATCGGATATTATATATGGTGTCGTATTGGGTGTTCGGGCACTAATAAAAAAACTAATTACAGAATCCATCAGTAAACCGCGAGACGAATTTATTAAGCATAATTAACCTGTTATTAGCAAATGTTTACTGTAGCACCATATTATCAAATTATGGAGCAATTAGGCTCAAAAGATTCATCTCGTAAATTAGTCACAATCTGCACAATTAATTATTTTTTAGCCTATATTTAATACTTCATGCAGGTATTCAAACGTTCGATGTAACATAGTGTAAAATTTTTACGTGGGATCTAAATAGGGCCTTAACGAAATAGTAACATCAATCGATCAATTACTTGAATTTGTAACTGACCTGAAGGAGATCACCGACGTTGACGAAGAACGCGGACGGGTCGGGCGGCACGGGGACCCAGACGCTGTCGCCGGCGGCGGCGGCGTCCGGCAGAAGCAGCTGCAGGCCGTCGGCGTCGTTGGCACGCAGGACGCTGAGGATCTGAGGGTCGGTGTGCTCGCCGAACCCGATGGCCGCCGTCGGCGCCGGGCCGCCGCCGGACTTGTGGTCGCCGGCGGCGGCGGCGCAGGATGGAGGGTAGTGATTGATCCTGATGAGGGAGTCGTTGTCAGTGGCTGTGATGAGCCTTGTCAGGGATGTGGGGTCCCTGAGGCCTAGGCCCTCTCCTAGCAGGTCAAGGACATGGCAAGCAAGCTGCCTCACTGCCTCCACATAATCATTTACCACCTGGCTGTTAGGGGGAAAAAGTATGAAGTCATATAATTAGTTTTGTCGCGAGAGGTGTCGTGGAAGTTGATATTATAGTAAGTGCGACATGAGATCTAAGAATTAGAAAATATGGTACACGATGATAATGGTGGACACCCCACTCGCTACAAAGCAAAAAGAAAAAGTGTGTGTTGCATTCTTCATGGAGACACTAGATGAAAGGTGGGAGTTAAAGTAAAGTCCACATGATCTTTATAGATCAGGTCGCACATGTTCTACAGTGATATAGCGATAATGGAAAGTTTCTGGCTCGTGAGATGGAGAATAGAGCTCCAAGAAACTATGGATAGTAAAGACTGCAATGCATCGTTGCCTTTTTTATTCATATCACACATCATGACTAATTCTAGCAATTTTCAAGTAAGACATTTACATTTATTTTTTTTAACTCTACTATGTCAATTCCATGTTCTCTACTCTAGCTTCAATTCCACTTGATCTCTGAAACATCTACTCTAGCCAAGATGGTCATATAGAGTGCCTAGGTGCCTTAGATAGGCAGTTAGCACCAGCTTTACCGACCATCTAATGTGAAGTGTCTTCTTTAGCACTGACGGTCGGTACTAACTCTTATCATTGACTGATAAATGTGTTATCATAAATTTAGATGTTTCATTATGTACTATGTTTAATTCAGATTGTAGGTTCCAAAGATTTTGAATTAGTGTTGAACATTGGTCAAGCCTAATTAATACTAGAGTCTACAGAGAATATATTCTTACCTCTTAGTATATCTTAGTGTCAATATATCGGTCCTACTTAGTTTGTGTTCATGGTGCTAGTTACTACCAGCTTATCTGTATAGGACTATGTAATATATATCTTTTTTATTTCTTTTATATATCCTGTTCTATGAAACCAACGGGACAAGCTAGTCTCCTACAACTTTTTATTTTAAACTACATCATAATTAATCTTGCAAAAATTTAGCTAAGATAGAAAAAACTAAAACATTATATGTTGAACATGAGAACCTAATTGTCTGCATTATGTCGTACTACAGACACCGCAACTAAGTCTAGCATAATAAAAACAAATAATATAGATAGTACCATTTTACTATAGAAGCACTGTTTTCAGAGTACTATATGTGACAAGAATCGGACAAACTAAGCTAAAGTTTGAGTAGATGCCTAAATAATAATCCTTGAAATAGATGCTTAATTAATTAGCACGATGTTTTTCCTTTTTATCTGTCGATGAAAAACAACATCTAAAGTGAACCAATTTTTACTGTCTCCACATGGTTTATTGATCATTGATGGTACAGCCACTTGGTTTATCGATCATTGATGGTACACGAGGAGAATGGGAAAAAGAAGGGTGATTGGTGTATGAGATTGCAGCGACCCAAAAGCTGCAATAATCCTGGAGAAAAAGCTTTGCAGGACGAGGACAATCGTACGCATGCACATCTTGTTCAATTAATTGACAGTACGTACTCCTAGTTAATCTGTTCAACTTGATAATGAAGTCTTCGATCACACTATTGATTTTAGCTCCTGAAAATGCCAGTCTAAAACTGGAGTACGTGGGGCTATGATGACACTCATTTATTTGTCTTTCACTTATTTTTCTTTTTCAAAAAAAACGCATGCATATCTCATCTCATTTGTTATATTTTTCCTTTCATCTGTAGCTACGTCGTTCACACATAAGCTTGTGTACTCTCCAGCATCTGCTGCCTTAGAGCAAGTTCTATATAGTAGAACCGATGGTCACCTTTAATTTTATTCATATTATTTACTCATTAATGAAGAGATAGTATATACAACAAATTACCTTTAATACACCTACCCCAATATACTATAATATTTTTTATTTTTTCACTCAATCTATTCGTATCTTTCTCTCATCTCTTTATGAGTTTATATATGTAGAGGTCGCTACTTACATGAGGGTGGTTACTGCTCTCTCTGTCTTATCTCTGCTAGCTCATTATATCATCCTACATGGTAGCTTGAAGCAAGAACTAAGAGGTACTCCCTCCTTCCAAAAATCTGAGACCTATTTCTTTTTCATCAATACCAAGAAGCAATTAGCTCACTCACTATGTGGCAAAACCAATGAACATGCAACCAATAAGTATTAGAATGACTTCTTAGTTTCCGATCAACAATTTAATTTAGCATATAGTGACTACAAATAGGATTTAGATTTTTGGAAAAACCAAAGAATGAAATAGGTTTCAGATTTTTGGAAGGAGGGAGTATATAAGAGGTATATAATATTTGTTATTACCAATCGTCCAACATTTGAGGAGGATCCGTACTTGATGATAGAGTAGATCATGTAATGCTATACTAGGTTCTAGGTAGTGACGCTCTCTACTCGTTTATATAATTTAACTTTAACTCTCAAATTAAAATTGTATAATTTAATTTTAATTTTAGAGTTGATTTTGAGAGGATTTTTTCCATCTAGTTGATTTTCAGCATTGGTGTTTAAACAACTAATTATGTATATTTATTATTTTTTGATTGCTTAGTCGCCTGTGTTTATACTGTTTTTTTAAAGTACACTTTAAGGTGTGACAATAGAGATAAAAGGTTAATGGTGGCTAGAGAAGTCATAAATTAGGAGGCAGGGAATATGTTAGGTGGGTTGGTGGCGGAGGAGCATGTAGAGGTGGTGCCAGCCAAGTGGAGCAGTGAGAAAACCCATCGTTTAGTGTAGAACTGATTATAAGAATTAGTGATAAAAAATTGCATATAAAATTTTTATGTGTGCTCTTAGCAAGCTAATGTTAAAAATAAACTACAATAAAAAATATAAAAAATCAATTATGAAATTAAGTTTTAAAATCTAAATCTAAATCTAAATTTTGGCTGCATCTAATAAGCTGAAAAGCAAAACTACCGGTGGTAACATAATCTAGATGTGGCCACAGTGGTAAAAGAAAATATAAGTAATAAAGAAGATAGCCATAATGGTTAAACGGTCTTTTGATATATTCATGGTAAAAGAAGAAAGAGGGAGGAAGAGGTGAGTTCACAACATATATAAAAGGTATGATTAAAATTTAGAGATAATTGAAGAATTTATTTAAAATAGTTCCTGCCGGAGGACACTCCCCATCGATCACTGTTCTTCCCTTTTTCTTCCCTCTTAAACCAGGCAATCCATTTCTATTATTATACTATTCTTATCATTTGCTTATTAGTGTATGAATCACATATAAAATTTGAATTTGAAAATAGTTGATTTTGAGGAGTTTTCGTAGTACTTTAATTTATTTTCTAACGTTGGTGTTTAAATCACTAATAAGAACATAGATATATAAAAAAAAATCTCACGGATTACTTGTAAATAAGCTAGCGGTGAAAGTCTTATGACAACATACCGGCAATCAGACTCTAATCCTATGTCTACAAATAAGGATTCCTAAAGTTATATTGTTTGTTCTAATAATTATCTCTCATTTCAATATCTTCCTACTTTATCCTCAGCCACCCTCACACTCCCAACCATCCCTCATTAAATGAGGTTACCAAAATCATTTTTCCTCACAGCCCGGCCTGTGCTTAACAGCTTAGGAATACTGAAGCAGGAGTAAGGTAGGGACGTAGGGTAAGGAATGGTATTGAATGGACATTATCCATGATGCAAGTAGTTGCTAATAATATATACCTTTATTAATTTGACGCTTCTTATGAGCTTCTACATTAGATAGAAAGATCCGACCATTAATGTGATGGATAGTATTATCGTGAATATAGATCATGTTGAGAGTACGTGTTAAATAAATCGTGCAATTGAAAATAGCATAAGTTTTAATTTAATAATTATAAAATCTGCATTTAATAAATATGATATTACGCCTATTTTGGATTCTCAACTCAATGTTTTATTAATTTCATTCCAAAATTTGAAATTAATAATGAGACAGTTTTAGCTGATGTGAACTCTTCTCGCATATAGGCAACTAAAATTTTGAAAAGGTACCCTCTCCGTCCCATAAAAAACGAATTTACGACCAGATGTGACACATCATAGTATTATGAATTTGGACAGATGTATTGTCTCCGTCCAAAAAAAAATCCATTCCTAGCATTCTGAGGTGGAATTAGTGGAGATGGAGAATGACTAAAATGTCCTTAATCATTGAAAAAAGTAGTAAGAGTGATAGATAGGTAAATGGTATTGAAGGGATAAAACTTCTCGTTTTACGTGTTGAGGGTAGGTAAAATGGTAGAAGTTGGTTTTTTTGGAACAAAATTCAAATTCTAGAAGTTGAGTTTTTTTGGGACGGAGGGAGTATGTCCAAAGTCGTAGTAGGATGTGTCACATTTAGTATTAGATTGGTTTTCTACGGGACAAAGGGAGTAACCAACATATTTAACAAATATTATAATTTTAATATTTAATAATATTTTGTGCAAATGCATGATTGATGACTAGTTAATCCACAGGAATGTTCAGGATTGACATGCCAACTACTCCCTCTGTCACATAATATAAGAGATTTTGGAAAGATGTGATATATCCTAGGATAACGAATCTAGACAAACTCCCTACCAGATTCGTTGTCATAGAATGTGTCACATCCCTCTAAAAATCCCTTAGGTAGTGTTTGGTTTCGGAACTAAGTGGGATGGGATGGAACCATCCCTGATTTTTGGGTTGGGATGATTCCAATCACATGTTTGGTTTGTAAGATGGGACGATCCCAATTTTTTTGTTTGGTTGAAGGGATGAGAAAGGGAAGGGATGGACACCGTTTGCAATCACCGTCAACCGATCGCCGGATCTGCCGCCACAGTCCTCCCCATCGCCGGAGGAAGAGCAAGAGGATGAGCCGGCGGCGAGCAAGAGCAAGAGGAAAAGCCGGCGGTGAGCAAGAGCAAGAGGAAAAGCCGTCGCCGCTCCTCCCATCGCCGGATCCGCCGCCGCCCCTCGTCCTCCTCCTCGCACGCCGCCGCCGCTCCTCCCCCGCGAGCTCCTCCTCGCGAGCCATCGCAGTCCCCATCGCCGAATCCGCCGCCGCCCCTCGACCTCCTCCTCGCATGCCGCCGCTGCTCCTCCCCGTCGCCGAATCCACCGCCACAGTCCTCCCCATCGCCGGATCAGCCGCCGCTGCCCTCCCCACCACTGGATCCGCCGTGCCATCGCCGATGCCCCGCCGCCGCGGTCGTCATCGCCGAGCCCCGCGTGGTCACCGTCGCCGAGCCTGCCGCTGTCGCCGTCGCCCGAGCCGTCTGCCGTTGCTCCCGAGGGCGAACAGCGCGAGCGCGGTAGGAAGGCGTCGTCACGCCGTTCGCTCGTCCCAGGTGGGACGAGTTCGTCCGCCACATTTTCCCCGATCAGTTGGTCCCGGATCTGAGAGGAATATTCCTCTCCAGGGACCAACCCATCCCACTCACCCCTCAACCAAACACCCCTAAAAGTGGGTTCGTCCCATCCCATCCACTCAACCAAATACTACCTTATATTACGGGACGGAAGGAGTAGTCATCAGTCTTTGGAGCAATTTGCAGAGGTAGGCTGACAGGAGTTGTCACTTTTCTTTCGGACTTTCAGCACGAATGACCTAAAGGGCCCCATCCCATCAGTCCTGCGGGCAGCTGATCAAGCATCCTGTCACCATACCACAGACGAAACACAACACTTTTCCACTCACTTTTATGTTTTCTGGTATACATTGGTTTCCATTAATTGGTTGTTTCAGGTTCCCCTGATCGATCAGTGCATGCGTTCTTTTTTTGTGTTTGCGCGTTCCTTTTGTTTGGCCAATTGTGCAATGCTAGTCCCGTGCTGTCGATACCTTCATTCACCCTCTTGAGGGTTCTTCCTATCGATTCGTTTTGGGAAAATATATGAAATATCGTCACACCTAGTTTTGGCCAGTAGAAGATCTCCCGGGGTCTATCAATGTTCTAACTTGCCGAGATCTTGTCGAGAGCCAGAACTATTTATTCTGGAAAAAGTTTATGTATACCCTCAAATTTAAAAACCAAGAGAATTTCTTTCTCAACCACCCTCTTGGATAATCAAGATGGAATAGATACAATAAACATTAGTGTGATATGGTAACAGAATAAATACGCGACTAAAAACCGATGAAGTACCAACATGTCACCTTAGTCTCAAACATAGCTACCTAGAACAAGTAAAAGATGATTTTTACTCTATTACTCTCCGTGCTACCCCTAGTGGATCCTCACTCTACTAGCCATCTAGAAACCACACTACCCCTAGTGGGTCCTCACTCTACTAGCCATCCAGAAACCACACCCCACTCACAGTATCCTTAATCCCATCAATCCCATGCATTTATGAGGGGGTATTTTAGAGTTTTCATCCTAATCCTTATGCCCTAAAATGCTAGTATTACGAAGTATATTGCTATGTTTTATGATAGAGGGAGTAACTTCGGTAAAAAAATTATAAGCTCACACCTAATGCTATATGTTATTTATATATGGATTATTAGACATATTACAAACATTTGTTTATAGAGATAACTAAAATATTATATAAAAACAAGAAAAAAAGCTTAGACCAAGTTATATACATAAGCACTGTAGTTTAAAGTTTTTGGAGAAATCGTAGTTTGACAATCATGATAAACTTAATCCATAAGTCCATAGGCTGAAAATAACTCAATCTTATTCGTTGCATATATCTTTTCCTCCTTTTACCATCTCCGCGTGGCAAAAATATAAACTATCTACTAGAATGGAATGAGCAGATCCATTCATTAACGAAACAGAAAAACATATGTTTCCAAATAATGCCTCCTTTTTTTTGTGAATTACTAATAATGCCTTCTTGGAGACATTATTTGTTGAGAGAGAGAGAGAGAGAGAGAGGGGTTCATACAAAACTAACTATCGCTGATAGCGTATTTGATTGGACCTCTCTACAATGGTTCTCACATGACCCTATATATAGTGACATTATAATGTAGATAATTTTTGTTGGTTCTGTTTTAGGTTGCCACAGAATTTTTTATTACTTCCAAGTTTTCATTAATAAAAACACTTACGGGGAAAACACCAGTGGTGTGGTGGTGGAGTCGTGGGTGCACCGTGCATGACTATACCCACCAGGGTTCAAATTTTGGTGTCCACGAATATTACGCACATGTAAGTGGATTTTCAACAGGATTTTAGTGAGATTAGGAATGCGTTGTTGGCTTCCGTCTCTTAGAGCATGTGTAAATACAATTTGAAAGAGAATTTGTTATCTCAAAAGTGCTACTCGCTAATGAAAAAAATACTGAAAAGGATTCCTCGACCACTTTCCGCAATAATATTATCGAGTTCATATCTTTGTCAAGTTGCTGATTGTTTCATGTATATTAATTAGCCGTTTCAACCATTAATTACATTGACATCTAAAACTCGATGTCAATTTTGTTCCTAGAATTGAAACATGTATACTATGTTATAATATAAATTTGAAAAAAATATAATTTAATGTGTGTCATTACCAATATGAAACAAAATGTTGGAATATAGAGACAAGCAATACAAATTCATTGAAACTAAAACTCGCACTAAATTCATAATAAACTTGAAAGTTTTAGTGTTGGGCAAAATTTAGGTTATGCATGTGTAACAGTGTAAGTTTATTAATTAGTCGAACGAAAAAGAAGGGGAAAAAATTCAGGCGATTGACAAATAACAAATAAGTTGTTACCGTTTTTTTCCATATAACTTGATCCAGATCATTAATATAAACGTGATCATATGCATTGTTTATCATATAAATTAAGAAGCAATGAACCACATACACAGTCAAACACAGCTGCTAATTAATCAGAGAAAGAAAACGAAGCCGTTTATAATTTTCGGAGAGACAAGAAATGTTACGATATACTATAGATGATACGTTGCGCACGAGCGCAATGTGATTCGTGATCGATTAAAATTTCGCGCATATGCTGCATGTATAGCTATAGCGTACCTGAACCGTCGAGGGTCTTCCCTGTCGATGGCGCTGGCCTTGCGCGCCACCGCGTCGGGGCTCGCGTGCAGGATCAGGTACTCCAGCTCGCCGACGTCGCCGTTCGCCCCGATGCTCCGGCTGCCGTAGCCCAGCGGGTCGGGCGGCCCGGCGAGCTGCTTCTCGGCCCCCGCCCGCACGAAGAACGCCGCCGCGGCGGCGTCCATCGCCGCGGACACCCGCGGCGGCACGCCGTGGTTGACGGCCCTGAAGAAGCCGCTCCCGGCGCACGCCCGCGCCACCTGCCGCGACAGCTCGCCGCGCCCCGCCGGCGCCGACATGTCGACCGTCGGGACGACGACGCCCCGGCCGCGCCGACAGAACACGGCGGCCGCAGCTGCCGCCGCCGCCTCCCGGCGGCCGCATTCCGGCGCAGCAGCAGCCGGCACCACCATGGCGTTAATGTTGCTGCTGTGGCTGCTTCTGATGCTGCTCCTGCACTTGTGCTGTTGTGCAGATGGTGGCATTGTTGGTAAAGGCGATATATATAAGGAATTGGTTGTCATATGTGTTCATGTGGAGATTCCTGTGGAAATGCTGACCATAGGTTCTGCATTTGACCTGGTGTCCTTAAGCTCGATAGTAATTATTATGCAACTTTAGTTTAAGTGTTTTATATATAAACTTGGGAATGATCGATCAGACCTAGGAGGTAGCTAGTTAGACGGCCTCTCCAATCATCTGAATTGCAGGCCGTTAATTATTATATAATCTTATGCCGCTGGCTAGCTTGTGTACGTCCATATACATATAGAAAATTTTGGACACATCGGATGTTTGACACTATAATTAAAAGTATTAAACGTAGACTAATGACAAAACCTATTTCATAACACTGGACTAATTCGCGAGACGAATCTATTGTGTCTAATTAATTCATGATTAGCCTATGTGATGCTACAGTAAACATTCTCTAATTATGGATTAATTAGACTAAAAAAATTGTAAAGCAGATTAGCTCTCATTTATACAATTAGTTTTATAAGTAGTCTATGTTTAATACTCTAAATTAGTGTCAAACATCCAATGTGAGAGGATACAAACACCCGTGGACGTCAACAACAGGATGATGATCTTATGTGGCTAGCTGTCAAATGGGGGCCTAAATTCTAGCCGACGTAAATAATCACTGCTTTTGCTTAAGGGTTGAGGTCGATCACCACGAAAAATGTGAACTTGCAATTTTTTTAGGGAACCTCAAACGCGCTGTGTTTTTTTTTTTGTTAGTCACTACTAGAGAACCCCACATCTCTCGGTTCGCAACCCCCTTTACTCCCGGGTAACGAACCGGGAGAGAGAATCCGGGACTAAAGATCGTCCCGGTTTGAGTCACCAAACCGGGAGTAAAAATAAAAACGCCACGTGACGCTTTCTGTTTTCTTTTCTTTTTTTATTGTTTTTTGCTAATTTTATATTGATTTCACACCGAGCTCAACCACACAGACAAAATCATCAACAAATTGACATCACAGATTCATCTTCAACTTCATAGAAACATCTAAAAATCATCAACAAATTCACATCACAAAATCATCCACAGATTCACAAAAACATGTAAAAATCACTCACAAATTTACATCACAAAATCATCCCCAAAATCATCGCCAAGTCGTCGCTTTCGGATTGCCCGCCGCGTGTGCGCCGCCGCCAGCTGCCTCCCATCTGCGCCGCCTCCTCCTCCCGGCGCGCCCGCCGCCTCCTCCTCCCGGCGCCCGCTGCCTCCACCGCCGCGCCATCGCCCGCTCCCGTGCGCGGGCCGCCGCCTCCCTACACTGCAGCGCAGGCCACCACTGCTCCCGCCCGGCCGGCCGCCACGCCCGCTCGGCCGCCGCCACTACCGCCCGGCTGGCGCCGCCACTCCAGAGAGGGGAATGGGGAGGAATGGGAGGGGAAGGGGAGAGGAAGGGAAAGAGATGGAGAAGGAGATGGAGGCCAGCGCTTTTAATGAGGGGAGGAGAGAGGAGATGGCGTTGTTTAATGAGAGAAAGGGGGAGGGATAATCGGCCGGATAAGATCGAGATCGATGGCGTGCGGCTCGGGGTGCTCTTTGGTCCCGGTTGGTATAAACAACCGGGACAAAATGTCTACTTTTAGTCTCAGTTGTTTATACCAACCGGGACTAAAAATAATTTGGGTCTGTCTCAAACCTAACAACTTCTTGAACCGGGACTAAAAATGATCTTTAGTCCTGGTTGGTAACACCAGCTGGGACTAAAGATCAAAATTTTTTAGTCCCGGTTCTATTTCCGGTTCCTATTAGAATCGAGTCTATTGTGGAAATCGGCCGACCCAACAAAGATCACTTCTCCAGTAGTGAGGGTTGGCAACTAATCCCCGCACAAACAAAACGGAGCGACTCATTAGCACGTGATTAATTAGGTATTAGCTATTTTTTAAAATAAATTAATATAATTTTTTTAAAAAAACTTTTGTATATAATTTTTTTAAAAATACACCGTTTAATAGTTTTGGGAAATGTGCGTGAAACTCATCAAACGAACACAGCCAATAGGCTGCGTTCGTTCCGTTGCGCTGGGAATTAATCTCTTCGGCACGTAAAACAGAGCGATTTATTAGCATATAGTTAATTAAGTATTAGCTTTTTTAAAAAATAAAAGGATTAATGTGAATTTTTTTATTAACTTACATACATAAATTTTTTGTAAAAAATACACCGTTTAATAGTTTATAAAGAAGAGCTTGAGTTGAGAAAGCCAACAAAAAGAATACAACCATATATAGAAGTAACCATAAACTAACAGCGTTGCAGAGGATCATCCAAATCCTGAAGACTGAAGAAGCTGTCAATTTATGGTGTATTAGCTAGATAGGTCCGCTCTATTGCCGTCCTCAGCTAGTTTTAGCCGATCTCATATTTGTTTAAGCAGCCGGACTGCCGAGCATATATGCATAATATATTTTCTGACGGCTGGGGTTCATGCACTGCCATGCATCTGGTCGACGAGTCCATGGCATGCATGAATCATGGCATCTGGTCGATGAGTCCATGGCATGCATGAATGTGTGAGTAATATATTGGTGCTTCCAGATGACACGGCAGGGGAAAGGGAGAAGAGAACATACTACTGTATATATTATGCATTCACTATTTGTACCCAAAAAGAGAAACCCTGTCCTCACTGTTAGCCTGTCCAAGCTTATGCTGGTTTGGCGTTTCTGTGTCCACATTTTCTTCTTACTGGCCTGCTAGGCTGCGAGGATACTGCTTCTTTGCTCTTATTTTTTTCTTCTTAAGAAATGGATCTGTCTGTTTCAATAGCCGACATATGCGTTTAAGAAATCTGTGTCAAGCTTTTGCACCGGCTTCCGTGTATAATGTTTGACCGTCCGTTTTATTTCAAAATTTTATAATTTTTTTAAAAAAATTAAGTCACACATAAAGTACTATTCATGTTTTATCATCTAATAATAATAAAAATACTAATGATAGAAACAATCTAATAAGATGGATTGTTAAACATTAGACAGGGAAACTCACAACTGCACTTAAAATTGGACGCAGGAAGTATGCTCTTTTTTTTAAAAAAAAAAAAACTATAGTTTGTTTGCTATCAAGCGATGTATATATTGTACGAATTACCACTAGTAGGAAAACCATTTTCCTAGACAAATTACTACCATTTTTCTAGCCTGCAAGATGGGAAGGGGAGGCTATATGGCCGACCGCCTGGGAAATTGGTGATAGCATAATGTGAAGAAACACAATTATGCAATGGCATTTTATTGAACTTGCATTTTTTGATTGCAATTTGTAAAATCAATTGCTTGTTAATGGAAAAATATAATGTAGAGTATTCCTCATTTTCCTATCAAGATAAAAAATCACATATATTTTGGTTCCAAAATTTTACTATACATCGATCGGTGATGGAAAATATGGACGATATCGTAAATTTTGATCAGTGATAGGTGACAGCATAATTTACGACGGAGTGTCACAGGTCCAATTTCCCTAGATTCTAGTGGCACACTACTACAGACCCTATTTTTCCGTGCGGTTGAATCGATTATCCCGTGCGGTGGCTCGGCCTGCCTGCAGCGCCTCGTCTGGGAAAATCGGTATTTTCGCGTGCGGGCGGGCCGACCGCACGAGATAATCGATTATCCCGTGCGGTCCGTTAATCGGTTATCTCGTGCGGTGCAGTAAGGAGGACTGCACGGGATAATCTATTATCCCGTGCGGTCAAATTATACCGACTGCATGGGATAATAGGTTATTCCCCACGGCTAGCATGTGCTAGGGCAACCGCACGAGATAATTCGTGCCGTCGGTTTGTGCGCTAAGATCAAACGTGCATTCATAGAGATGGGAAAGGAGAATAAATATTATGCTAATTAGATGTCTCCTTTCTCATGAATAAAGTAGTAGGTATTTGGTGTTTTACTTTCCAATCATGTAAGCACTTGCTATGAATAATGTGGCTCATTGGTGTTAACCCCAATGTTTGCCAAGTTTGTTTTGTTTATGTTCAATAAAGTTCAGGTTTTGAATAAGTGTGGGAAGATATCCCAGCTTCTGACGTGCATATAGTCTGAAAATTGCTGAACATCTGATGTGCATCAAACTCTACAGAAAATTGTAGAGTGATTGGGCACTCGAGTGGTTCGGCCGAACCAACACTGACCCCAATCACCCTCAATTTCCACAGGTAAGCAGGTGAGCACGTCTATTATCTGTATATCTCTACCATGATATGGTACTAGAGCTGGAAATTCAGAAAATGATTGGTTCAAGCATAATTGAAAAGATAAAATCTCCAACTAATGAAATTCTTTCTATGATTAACCTTGTATATTTTTTATTCTCAGCTGAACTTGTACTTGTGAACAATCATCCATGTTTAGGGAACCTTATGCATCTAGGTAATTGCTATATGTGAGATGATTAAAGATGAAAGAAATTCTTGCAATATTTGTCATAACTTATGGGAATTTGTTTTTCAAAATAAAATTTTGTTTTAAAAGCTCATTCCTCTAATTGACTTTACTCTATACCTACCAAGGCCATATGCAAGTATATCAATGATAAACCTTATTATGCATATGACTGCTTAGCATTATATTGAGCTTTATCAAATGTATGTGACTCGTGTTAGATATCATTCATACTCTCAAGATCAAGGGGTCATTTCCATTTTTTCCACATATATAATTAAGCTAAGCTTCTACATTGGAAATTGGCTTCCCACAAAAATTCCATTCAAATAAACTCCTACTTTAGACTATGCTTTCTTCTCCTAGAAAATCCTTGGCAAAAATAAAAAAAATGAGAAAAGGAGGGAAAGGCATGGCTATGAAAAAAAAAGAAAGAAATAAAGCTTGCTCTCAAAACAATGAGCATGAAAATGGAGAAGGTATAGTAGAAAGGATAATTATTTCTTTATTCCATCATTCCATAAAATATTTTTGCTTTTCCATTTTCCACCACAAATAAAGACCCTTGATCTAGGAGTATGACTGATGATCTTCTTGAGTCCATATTTTTGGCTTTGCAATATATATGATGCAGGTATGTCACAATTTTATCCCTGCCGAGCTCC